GGCTTTTTTGAGACAGGGTCTCACTATGTAGTTGAGACTGACTTGGAACTCACTGTTTAGCCCAGGCTGGTCTCGAACTCACAGTGATCCTCCTGCCTCAGCCTCCTGAGTGCTGGGATTACAGGCGTGCCGGCCAGATGAATCTTAACAACAAAATTTTGACAAAAAAGGACACAGAAGAGTGCATGCTGTCTAGCCTATTTATATACAGTTCCTAAACAAAATTACACAGTTAAGCTGGGATAGGGCTGGGGATTTAGTTTTGTGATAGAGCATTTTCCTAGCACCCACAAGGTTTTGGGTTCATCTCCTAGCACAAAAAAAAAAAAAAAAAAAAAAAAAAGGAAAGAAGGGAGGGATATAGGTAGATAGGAAAGAGAAAGAGGAGGGGGGAAAGGGGGGAGGAAGAGAGAAAAAGGAAGGAAGGAATGGAAAGAAAGAAAAAAGGTAGATGCCATTTGTCAAGATGTGAAAACAGACACACTAGGGTTCTAGAAATTTTCTTGGTCTGGATGCAGCTGCAAGGATATTTTCACTGTGTGAAACTTCAAGGACATGTATATTTCTTTAAATTTTTCTCTAGGTGTATTTTAACTGAAAGTTTAAAAATAAGCAAATGAAAAATTAAAAGTAAAAAGACACATGGGCCCAAGCCAGCTTGCCTTTATTTAGTGCTTTCAAGAGGAGATTCTTAAGAAAATGGAATTTTGCCAGGTGTGATGGTACATGCCTGTAATCCCAGCACTTGGCAAGAGGACAGCTGTGAGTTTGAGGCCAGCTTGAACTACACAGTGAGACCCTCTCTGAAAAGCGAAAAACCAACTAACAAAAAAAGGAAATTTTGTTCCCCAAAGAAAAATAATTTATACCCACATCCACTATAGTAACACGATAGAAGCAATCACCAAGTCAGTGTCCACACAGGCAAGGTCCAAGGGTAAAGTTGTCAGAAGATTTCTGTCATCTGATTGACATCTGATATCCATTGAATATACTCTTGTTTGAACTTGTGAGTCAAAAAGCTTCTTCCAGACTGTCAGGTACCTGCCACTGGCTTTCTTGTGACACGCAAGGCTCCTTTTTTTCTGCTGAAAAAGTTGCCAGAGAAAATGAAAAGCAGATCCTAGAAGATAGCTACATACACAGCTCCAAGGAGTGTGTTCATGTTGCAGAAATGGAAACACCCTCTTCTGGGAAGTGTGCATATCGTAGTTGAAAGAGTAGGTGACCTGGAACAAAACCTCACATTTTAGGTGTCTCAATTTTCTCATCTGAAAAAAAAAAAAATCACTTAAAAATTTCTCAAAGAGCTCTTCCATGGGATCGCATTTGATCCTGGTGTAGTTACTGTATTATGCCTCAACGAACATGGAGACACTGAGGTTCCACAGACACAGTTAATGATCTTTGAAATCACTTTAAAAGCTAGACTGGACTTAGCTGGGGGTTATTTTGCCCAATCTTCCCATTTTTCATATTGGAAGACCAAAGCACAGAGCAAAAGAGAATTGAACAGAGAGGCAGGGCAGCAGAGGTGGGACTAGAATCTAAGGGGTTGGGTTTTAGGTGGCCCTGAAAAGTGGACAACTGCAGGTATTCTTGGATTGTGACCCTCTGACCTTCCAGTCAGCCCTTCCCATTTCCACTCTGGGAATCACGCTTGTGACACAAAACCAGTTTTTGCAAGAGAGTGCCCAGAATCAGGTTCTCCCTCAGGTGCCCCAGGTATAGAGGCTGAATGGGCAGAAAAAGTTAATCTACAATGATAGTACAGGAGGGCTTCTCTAAACTGGTACCTACTAGGCGGCCACAATATTCTCCACATAAAAGTGACTAATAATCAGGCTTTTGAAATATGTGATGACACACATATTTCTTTCCAATGGCCTTTCTTTGGCGTTGACATGCACAGGTGTCTTTACTGTGAGCCTTACTGGTCTTGTGTGAGAACAAAATTGTCTCCTTTAATGTGTAACTACCAACACAATACAGGTGCTCTGTGAAATAAACAGAGTGCAAGCTGACCCAAAGAAAGCCTTCATGGGCTGGGGATTTGGCTCAGTGGTTCCACCACTTGCCTCACAAGCGCTAAGGGCCTGAGTTCAATCCCCAGAACCCCCAATTTTTTTAAAAAAAAGCCTTCCTGATGTTCATTTTGATCACCCCAAACCCTTTTCATGTCCTCAAACTCCTATAAAAATCTCAACCTTTTATTCTGACAGCATGATCCTCTCTTGGACTCATCCTTTGCTCTCTAGAGTGTATCAATAAACTCCAGCTTTTCTATATTCCTCAACTCTTGGTAAATTCTTTATTGACCCATGGCACTGGCCTCTCACTTGCTGCCCCTTACATGGCACCAGTTCTGTGACTTTGCACTTTGTCCCTTCCTAGGCTTCAGCCCAGCCAGCGGGGAGTCTGTTCTGAATGAATCGAACAGGACTTGGAATACAGATAGGTCTTGTTTTAGCCGGATGGAGGGATGGAAAAAAATCAGTTGGAGGTGGAGAAGCCTTCTTTCCTCCCCACCCACGGCCACCCCTGTGCTTCCATATTTACCACTCTGAAATCATCCTGCTTATGAACTAGATTTGGTGTTCCTCCCATGTTCCGCACAGGCAGTGTCACAGAGCCTGCGAAGGGACAGAGGGCAAACTCTTGAACCTTCAACCTTTACTAATGAAAAGCACAATCTGTGTTTTCTTTCTGAAGCAATCAGGGACTTAAAAGCAGTTTTTGCTAAAAACTGTGACTCTTCACTTGGGACTACAACTACCCAGTATGTAACTAAGAGTAGAACAAAGTTTAATCTTCATTTTATAAAACTCTGGGTCAAATCCTTCTTAGATCTGCATATGAGCAGGTTAGTCATTTAGGGAATGCCTGTCTACAAGTTGGCAAAATAAGTTAATGTGCCTTAAACTTACCTAACCCATCTCAGTATTCTTCAAGACAGAGGAGGACACCAGGATAAGAAATTTACAGGGACGTACCACTTCTCTCAGAAATCCTCGTTTCCCTAAACTTAGGGTCACCGTGGATTCTAGCAGGGCCTCATATGACTGAGACCAAACTGCCTCTCCAGTCATGAAGATTCCTCCAGAGCTAGGATTGAAATACAGTACAGCCAACCAGAGTACATCTTAAAACTGGTCTCCCTTCTTTTGTGAATGGGGAAGTCTGCCCCGATTCTTCAGACCTGTGCCCTTCAGTTTCTTAAACTGGAACCTTCTCTTACTTTCCTTTACTAAGGTACTGGCTTGATCTTTGTCAGACTTTATTTTCTCTTGCTTTCCAATTGCAACTTTTCCTTGTAAATTCATACTGTTGCTTTAGTTTTAACACCTGTTTTCACTAAAGCAAGGATCCACACTAGCCAGGCACAGCAGAAAGCTCTTGTTTCCCACCATACCCTCAATGCAGGACCGGGTAGGCACAGGGCAGACGTGCTCACTAAGCAGTTGGTAAATGGTTGAGGTTGGAGGAACCACTCTGGCCTTTCACTTTGGGCACATTAATATTTTCCAAGTTTTTAAAAAATGAGCACGCATTATTTTTTCAAAAACAAAAGTTTCCCCCCCGCCTCAAAAGAAAAACAAAAGCAGCTGAGTTACTGCAGATGACTCTTCAGCAAATTGTCTTGGGTGCAGTAAGTATCCAGTTGAAAGTAATTTCCTTTTTGTAGAGATCCGAGACCCTCAGACCACAGAAGGGCAGTGCCCTGCTGAAGTCCTCAGCACTGGGCAAATCAGGCTGGGTTCCAAACCCCCTATTTTCAAACTAGCCGGAGTACCTCCGGGTCGTTCCGATCTGAGGGAGTAGAGGGGTGAGGGTGGGGGGATGGGAAACAAGCAGGTTGCGGTGAGGCTGCGCGAGGCTGGACGAGGCTGGGCGGAGCATGGTGAGGGTGCACAGTGACAGCGACAGGCTGGGTGAAGCTGCGGGAGCAACGAGGAGCCTGCGGCCATACAAGAGCGAAGGGGAGAAGGCGGGGAACGCGAGGCGGGGCGAAGAGGAGGACAGACAGACCGTGATCACGAGTCTTCGAGCCCGCCCAGTGCGTGTGCGCAACAGCCTAGCCGCGCGCAGCTGCGCTTTTCTCCACTGCCGGCTTCTCGGAGAACCAGGTGGGTACGGGGCCCGGGATTGCCATAGCCGGGAAGGGGACGCAGGAGCGGGACCCAGCATGGTCCCCAGTACCGTCGCGCCTCGGAGCACGCTGCAGAGAGCAGCTGGGGAGACTGCGTTAACGGCGGGTTTATCTGGACATTGCTCCACCGAGCCCCAGAGGAAGGGAGGAAGCTATTCCGGCCTGCGCAGCCCCCAAACCTGGCTTCCAGAAACAGCAAATGCCGCGGGTGAGGAGGAGGCAGCATCTAGCTCTGACATTTTCTTTAGAGTGAAAGAATGATCTAAATTTAGCCCAAGATCTTGTGAGTTTCGTGTCATTATGTTCCTGTTACACACGAGAGGGGAACTCAGAGTGACTCTCCTAGGGTCGCACAGTTGGCAGCATTAGAATTTGGACCCAGTCTCTCCAGCATCAGGAATGACCTCAGCTTCCACATCACCTGCTGTTTCTCATTCCAGGATCTTGTGCTGTGAAGATGTTTCCAAAGTGCCTCTTGTTAACCAGCAGCTCAGACCCACAAGGCCTGGGAAAAGAAGACTGCTAGGTTGTGGAAGGGTGGTCTTGTCCTGTTCAGTAACTCCCTGCACTGTGGACCTGGGACAGACTTGGTATTCTCCATGGCACACCGACTGCCCATCCGTCTACTCACCTGGGATGTGAAGGACACGCTGCTCAGGCTCCGCCGCCCTGTAGGGGAGGAATATGCTGCCAAGGCCCGGGCACACGGGCTGGAGGTGGAGGCCACAGCTCTGGAACAAGCCTTTGGGCAAGTATACAAGGCTCAGAACCACAGGTTCCCCACCTATGGCCTGAGTCGTGGCCTCACCTCCCGCCAGTGGTGGCAGGACGTGGTCCTGCAGACCTTCCAAATGGCAGGTGTCCCAGATGCCCAGGCAGTAGCCACCATCGCTGACCAGCTGTACGAGGACTTCAGCAGTCCCTGCACCTGGCAGGTATTGGAGGGGGCTGAGACCACCCTAAGGAGGTGCCGAAAGCGGGGTCTGCGGCTGGCAGTGATCTCAAACTTTGACCGACGGCTAGAGGATGTCCTGGTGGGTCTGGGCCTACGGGAACATTTTGACTTTGTGTTGACCTCTGAGGCTGCCGGCTGGCCCAAGCCAGACCCCCGCATTTTCCAGAAGGCCTTACAGCTTGCTCATACAGAACCAGCCGCAGCAGCCCATGTTGGGGACAGTTACCGCTGTGATTACCAGGGGGCTCGGGTTGTAGGCATGAACAGTTTCCTGGTGGTTGGTCCAGAGCCTCTGGACCCCATGATCAGAGATTCTGTACCTGAAGAACATATTCTCCACTCACTCTCCGATCTCCTGCCTGCCCTTGACCAGGGTTCAGCTCCTGGGCCATGAGTCTGGGGAGGAAGTTGGCTGGGCCTAAACAAACACCATATGTGGACTGGGCCCCTCCCTGTGCAGCCATATAACTTGTTCTGATTATAAAGGAGTGAGGGCTGAGCTTGGAGTCTTGCCCCACTAACCAGCCACATGTCTCTGAGCTTGCTCGTTCTCATTCACACCTGTGGCCCTTTCCTACCATGAGCCTCCCTCACCTCACCCACGTTCACTTTTGAGGGCTAGGCGCCTAGCTCAGTGGTAGGGTGCTTGCCTAGCATGTGAAACACTAGCAGTGGAAAACAAAAAAACAGGCATTTTTTACCTTTTAACACAATTGTTATTGGGTTTCTGAAATCCCATTATCAAAATTTAAAAACCCAGAGAGGGTGAAGGAGAAGTCCTAAAGCCTCTCATTCACCTTAGGCACTCCTTGAAGTCAGCGGTTAGTTTGACAGTCAGAGTGCTAAATTGTGCTGTTGGGACACTATCTACTACCATGCTCTAGTCTGAAAGAGAGGGAACTCTGCTGATTTATGCCTGCCCTATGTATGGTATCTAGTTCTTTATCTACATTTATAACCCTCAGAGCTACCTAGTGGCCATAGGTGGAATGACTCCGATTTATAAATGGAGGCAGCTTGCATGTGGTCACAGCACATGGAGAACCTAGGGCTCCAATTCAGGCACATCTGACTCAAAAGTCCATTGACTTGACCATTATGTTGTAAGTAGAGAGGGACACATGTCACAGGAGACAGCAGTGGAGATCTTAGAACAGGAATAGTGCCCTGAAGGGCACCCAAGTCAGGGATGCAGCCATGGACTGGAGGTCAGAACTATGGAGGAAACAGTTGGAAGCTGAAAAAACAATTGGGTTTTGAAAATTCCACTTGTTCTCCTATCTCACCTATCTACTCGGTGTTTACTGAATATCTCAATGCCTTGCCCAGTGTCAGGCACAGGGGATACCATAGGTTAAAAGCATAGAGCTAGGTTTGGTGACCCACACCTGTACTTCTAGCACTCTGGGAGGCTGAGGCAGGAGGACTGATAGTTCGAGTCCAGTCTGGGTAACTTAGTGATGTGGTGAGACCCTGTCTCAAAATTTTAATAAAAGGGCTGGGAGTGTAGTTCAGTGAGAAAGCTCTGGGTTGAGGTCCTTAGTATCAAGTTTTTTTTAAAAAGGCAGAGCTGGGGATTTAGCTCAGTGGTTCTGCCCCTTGCCTTATAAGCACAAGGTCCCGAGTTCAATCCCTGGTACCAAAAAAAAAAAAAGACAGGCAAACGACACCACACAAATGTGGTGTGTGTTCTGGTGACAAGAGCCAGGGAAGGGTCTGGAGAGGACACCGAGTTGAGGATGGGGTTGGGGTGACATTTGAGGAGGGAGGATTGGGGGGGGTGTTCCTACAGCATGCTCATGAACTGTGGGTCTGTTGCAGGGAGTTGGGTTGGGACCATCATGGCTTGGGGGCCTTCAGGTCCCAGGCAGAAGAGTTTGTCTTTGATTTAGATTTCTGGGCAGAGGCCATGCCCAGGCGAAGGCAGGGAAGATCTCTTTGGACTTGACAAATCCTTCTGTCTTTGTTGGGCCTGAAACCAAAGCCAGATGATATCAGTGATTCCTGAGTGTCAGGCAAAGATGTCAGAGCTGTGGTCTCAGAGATCGTCTCATCAAAAATGTTGCCACCAGAGGCCTGTTGCCTTGATCTAGCCAATTTTTCAAGAAAATGTTGAACAAACCTAACAATCCGAGACATTTCATATAAAGGCCTGGAGGTGTAGCTCAGTGGTTGAGTGCTTGCCTAGCAAATCCTGCATTTGACCCCAGCACTGCAAATATAAACAAAAAATTTTCACCTAAGGATTGGGATAAACATATTGGTAAACATCTTGCTCCTGGCCATTCAGGAGACCATATTCTTGTGTGGCCATAAATAGCTCAGACAAAGTAGTGCTTGTTCTTGAATCCCAGGCTATTTTACTCAAAGCCCACTGATCATAGACAGCCTTCCTTTACTCAGACCGGGGTGAAGTGGTGGTTTTCAAGATGTTTTGTGGCTACCAAGGAAAGTGGGGGGGCCTCTGTCTCTCATCCTGTTTGTCTCCAGGAACTTAAATTGTAGTGTGGTTTACTTATTTGGCAGTGCTGTGGATCAAACTCAGGGCCTCACATATTCTAGGCAAGCATTCTACTACTGAGCAACACTTCCAGGCCTGGTAAGGCTGCTTCTAAAGAGTGTTCCTGGACAGTTTGAGGATCGCTATTCTTGGATGTTCTCCTTATAGAGGAAAACACAAAGGGACTTGCCCTTTGTCCCAGTAAGGTTTCCAGGCTCTTCCTGTTTCAATGAGCTACTACCCATTTATTTCTGAGCATGTGCATAAGATTAAGGAAGATGGGCCACTATGTCACACATAGCCAATTACCAACAAAGAAATCTGTAAGTCTCTTAAGCCCTTTAATAATGTTCATGTTTCATGTCCTGAGGCTGGTGCTGATACTCCTCAACACTCTGTGGCTGGAAGCCTTCACTCAGGCCTCCACTTTAGATCAGAGAGGCCATGTGGGGAGCAGAGCCACAGTAGGAAAGAAGTTCAAGCCCATTGTCTCAGGTGGGCACAGCTGGCACTCAGCCTCAGCATCTGGGACAGATGCCCATAGCTGGGCAGCAGCCAGGTTACCTGGAAATAGGGTCCCTTGGGCTTCTGAGTGCTAGTGAAGGACCTGAGGAGGACACAGCACTGGCAGACCAGAGTATTCTGGCCAGGAGCAGCCTAATAGTTCTAAATCCCTTCTGGGTCATCTTTGTGTGCTAGAAAAATATTTACCCTGTGTGCATGTCATGAAAAAGATTGAGAAGCACTAAACTGAGAGGATAAACAAGCTTCGGCTATGGCTTCTCTGCAGACAACCATTTGCATATGCATGAGGCTCAGGATAGGGGGCTGAAGCGCTCCTGAAACTACCACATCTGCCCAGTCATCCATCTGTCCATCCATCCCTCTGTTCACTTGCTTAATAATTACTGCACACTCACTATGCCCCAGGCCCCATGCTGGGTGCCAGAGGGGCAGAATCATGGTGGATTTGGCAGGTGGAGGTCCGGGGAGCAGCAAGTTCCCCGAAGATGGCCGGCATTTATAGATTGTGCCCAGGTCTGAAACAGATCCCCATGGCACCTAAATCTACCCGCCGAGTGTGGGCCCCCTTTCCTTCAGAAACACCACACACATCACTCAGGAAAAGGGCACTGGGTGGGGACGTGGCCTGACCTGAAAGGGTGGCAGGAAGATGGAGTTGACTTTTCTGTGGCCAGAGGTCAGTGGACAATGGAAATGGTCTGGTCGGCCACAGCGAAGACTGGGAAGAGAGGTGTGGGGAAGGCCGTGTGGTAGGTGTATAGCACGGTGCCAGAGGTTGGCTCATAGAAGAGCAGCTCTCTCGCCTCCAAGTCCAGAAGCACACCCAGTCGGGCTGGGCTCCGCAGCAGCCCCAGGGGCTGGTGCTGGCCATTATGCAAGAAGCGGAACTCCTGATCATAGCGAGAGAAGACCCAAGAGAAGGTGTTGTGGCCCAGGCGGCAGTCACTGCCAGAACCCTTGCGGGGCAGCTGGCCTGAGGCCACACCAACTTTATAGGCACAACTGTTCTGGACGTTCACCATCCAGGCATGGAGCCCAGTCTGAAAGGAGGTGGCAGCCAGGGCATTGGGCCAGTGGTCAAAGCGCTCTGGGCCATCTGCACAGGCCTTGGACTTCTTGGAGCTGAAGGTCAAGGTCCTTCGATCATCTGACAATTGCAGGAAGGGGCTGACAGTCCTCTCATCAATTCGTACATCCTCTGTGCCTGCCAGAAAGGAAGAATTATCAGAGTTGCCCACAGCCCCTCTTCCCCAGTCCTGACCTGGTCCCACCATGTAGCCAAGGGTTTCCTTGCTGCTCATTGGCAGGGAGACCTCACATAAACTAGTGCCTCTCTTAGTGTCAGTTTCCTCATCTGTAAAATGAGGATCAAAGAGGACTTATCACGGCATGGCCATGAGAATTAAATTAAACAATTCATGTAAAGCCTAGTATGTAAGTCTTCAGTAAACTGCAGATGTGGTAACACTAGTTACTATTAGTCCAAAATCTTCATCTATAAACTTCGATAGAAATAAGGCCCAGAAAGGAGAAATGAATTCCCCAAGGCTCCATACCAAGTTGGTGGCAAGGCCAAATTTTGTTCCCACATCCAGCACTGATTGTGCTGCTTTCTAGCTGGCTGTATCTGTGGCAATCAGATCTGATTTATTTTGGGGACTGAGTTCCTGAAGCTAGGAAGCATGAGACAATACAGTTTCCAACAGCCGAATGAATGGGCTGCTAGTAAATCAGGTACATCGGATGCCAGGATCTACTGTAGACAAGCTATGGCCTGTATCAAAATTTTAAGAATATTGGAGTGGGGGGTAAAATTGAGACAAGATTCAATCTACGAACTTAACCTTTCCATTTCTTGTTCAAAGACCACCACTCGGAGAATGGAAGCTTCCATCTAGCCTGGGAGAAACCTTCTGTGAGAATCTCCATGCAAAGCAAGAATTCTTGGAAGTAGGAGACTGGGTCTGTTCACTCTGCAGCCCCAATATACAGCACAGGGCCTGGCCCACAGTAGGCCTGAGTCAGTGTTTCTTAAGTGATTAAATGAGGCAAATCCAGGCAGCTTCTTCTTGGTCCAGATGCTCTCCAGTTGACTATCAATTGTATTTTCTTAAAGAGAAACCCGACGTTTCCAATAAGTCATGAACTTCCCTAGAAGGGCAGGATGTAAGGGGAACATGATCTGTAGGAACAAGATTAATCCTACCCAGCCACAGAGTAGGTTAGTCTGGAAGTGGGCAGGAGGACCTGTTTCAGCTGCTCATCCTCATCCAGAGCCTTGGCCCCACTGAACTGCCTGCTTTCAGCATCATTGGTTGCCTAGGAAACCATCCCAAAAGCACTGGTGCCCAGTGTGTGACCCAGCAGCAAACCATACACACACACACAGACAGACAGACAGACAGAAGCCCAGTTGATTCCTGTTGGGGCTGGGCTCTGGCAGCTCCTGACCTGAGAGGGATCCAAGAACTGCTGTTGCCCATAGTTGGGTCAGTAGTGGGCTCCAAGTACACTTCTCGTTAAAGTTTAACTTTTCAGATTCCTGGGGATCCAAAATGCCCTCTGCTTCTTCAGTCCTTTCCAGGGGAAAAAATGAAATAAAACAAAACATTCAAGAAGGTCCTGAATCCAAAGCACATAGACAGTTTACAGGGAGGTATGTGCTTGGTGCCAGTACTAGAAACTGGAGCCAGTATGCTCTGAGGGAAAAGTGACTCCTGAGTGTCCCTCAATAAATGGATAGTTGAGCTGGGACTAGAACTTGAGCCCCTGGATTCTCTATGTGGTAGTGTTTCTACTCCAACATCCTACCCAGAAAATATATTCTTTCAAAAATCTGCGAAGCCAGGTATGGTGGTGCATGCCTATACTCCAAGCCCTTGAGAGGCTGAGGCAGGAGGATTGCCACAAGTTCAAGGCCAGCCTGGGCTACATATTTCAGTTCAAGCCAGAACTCTGTAGTGAGAGCTAGTCTCAAAAACCAAAACCTACTGCAGCAGTAAAGTTATCCATGGTTTGGTCAGAAGGTACAGCCACTCCTCTGCTCTTAAAATTCAAACACCTTTGACCAGTCACACAGGAAGGGATCATCAGTCGTGGAAAAGTAATTGGGGAACATAAGGTGCCTAAGAAGGGAGAATTGCCATTTATACAGCTGCTGAGGTTACTGCTTTCTACTTCAGTTTTGCCATATCCTAGGATTTAGTGGTTATTCTGCCTGATAGAAGAGAACAGAGATTCAGAGAAGGGACTTAGCCACAAAGGGAAGCTGGGTTCAAGCCCTGCCTTCATGCAAAAATAGAATAAACCTAGGGGTGCCACAGGCACCATTCCATGTTTTCCTTGATCTGAAATGAAATCTCAAAAGGACACAGTAGGGATGGCGAACTTTTAGACCTTTCAATGATCCAAATAGCCAGCTGTGGCATGAGTGCCATAGGTTTATCACCACCATACAGAGTAAAGTAGGGATATCACAAAGCTTTGCGGCCCTCTGACCTGAGTGGAAAGAACCTGCCCATCACCTCTAACTAGGTCATTCAGTAGCCCTCTGTCCTGGATGGGAGTCAAGCTTTTTGCAAGACTGTCATTGACTGGCTTGCCTGGGAGGAACAGGGTAGACAGGGGCTTGAAGTACTAAGTGTGTTCTGGTAACAAAGTATTCTTTGTGGTCAGGACAACAGAGGGTCCTGCTGCCATGTTCTCAGAGCAGTGGGGCTCCATCTGGAGAAGCCCCAACAAACCGGTGGGGAGGAAAGAGCCAGCATTAGCAGGGTTAAGCTGTCATCCCAGGACAAATTTGAGAATAAGTGTGGATAGCACAATCCACAGAGAATCACATGATTCTGTATGAGGATAAAACTCATAGCTTCAGAGGGATGGAAGTAAAATAGGGTTCAAATGCAGATCCTGGCTTTACAATGCTCAGCCCACACAGTGGGACCTATTGTCACTGTCAGGTGAGAGAGCACAGCAGTGGATGTGGAAACCAGAGCCTGCAGAGACATTTCTCAGACACATGAGGTTCCAGCTAGAAGGGGCCTGACAACTTTTGAACACAGCTCTCTGAAAATATACACCCTCAGCCTAGGGTCACAAAGGATTGCAGACAGATCTTGCACTCTACTTGTAGTTGTCAGTAATAGAATAGGCCTTGCTGCTCTCCAACAACTTTGTATGTATTGTAGGATTGAGCAAATGAATAAATATTTTCATGTTGTTGGGAACCAAGGTTTTCACTGTAAAAGAAGAAAGATACAAATATATAATAGGGGCATGAAAAGTGAAAACCCTGTGGTGCTAGAATTCAAAGTTGTGATACAAACTTGTGCATGAAATAGTTAGACAAACACAGCTCTGACCGTTCCCCCTGAAAAGGCTCAGAAGCAATGACCCATCAGTAGTAATGGGTACATTTTACTGCCAGATCCTGGCTTCTGAACATCTTCCATTACTCAAAGAAACCAAGAATCCTGGAGAAATAGCTGAATCCAGAGCTGGAACAAGAAAAGAATGTTGAGCCTGGGATGTATATCCCTGTGCCACAGAATAGGAAAGTGTTCAAAGGATAATGGGGCCTTGTCAAAAAGACAAAGGATCCATCTCACGGAGATCTGACTGGCAAATGCGGGATAATTTGAACATAAAATTAAAAATGGCAATAACAGACTATAATGCATCGAATAAAATGCAAGCTCATGAAACTATTGACACTAAGTGAATGAACAAACAACCAAATAAACAAACATCAAGGCAGGAGTGATCAATGGATGCAAGACTATTGGGTAAAAGAGAAGAGAAACACAATATACATGGAAAGTATCTCCTCATGCTTGTCTTATTAATTATTCAAGGGAAAATATAACCATATAATGAGGAAACACGATAAACACAACCCTTAGACACCACCGTATCCAAATGCTTAAAATTAACACCCCTGATGATGGGACATTGCCCAAGTGACATCATATGCCCCCTGATATGCTAGACTGAAGATTCGTCACTTAAGAGGTTTTTCTCCAAAAAATGTATGACTCAGCTGAGTGTGTTGGTGCATGCCTCTAATCCCAGCACTCAGGAGGCTGAGGCAGGAGGACTGCCACCAGCTCAAGGCCAGCCTGAGCTTCATAATGAGACCCCGTTTAAAAAAAGAAGTATGATGCAACTCTGGTCATGAGATAATATAATTGGAAGAAGGTTAAAGCTTCCCCTAGATAGGAAGAGAGATTAAACAAGATCTAATGTGGTAAAATAGTAATAACTGATAATTCTAGGTGAAGCTTATTATACTACTCTTATAACTTTTCTGTAAGTTTGAAATATTTCAAAACAAAAAAATTAAAGATGGGCCAGGTTTTAGCTCAGTGGCACCATGCCTGCCTCAAAAGCCCAAGGTCCCAAGTTTGATCCCTGGTACAAAAAATAAAAAATTAAAGATCAAAATTCTTTTCAAAACTCAGATCTACTTCATAGTGAGGATAGAATGAATTAAAAGAAGATGATGAAGATAAAGTAGAATGAGAAAACTGGCAGAAAGTGTGGAAAGACAAAGAGGGAAGAAGGGGGGGTGACCCATGCCTATGTTAAAAGGAGACAACACACTGAGCTGTGGCTCAGTGGTGAAACACTGAGGGCTGCATGCTATCTCCAGCACCTGCCCCCCGCAAAAAAGAGAGAGACAGAGAGACAGAAAATAAAATAAATGTGAATATATCCATACTGTGGAAAACTTCATGGGCTTTCTAAAAAGTAAGATAAATCTATATGCACTAACAATGGAAAGTCTATTAAGCCTATTAAATGGTAGGATAACAGGTGTAAAACAATCCCATCTGTGTTTTTAGTATATGTGCTCTCAAAGCGAGCACAATCCCATCTGTGTTTTTAAAGAATACTGTTTAAAAGTTAAAAAGATCAGCAAACAGGCCAGCCGTGGTGGTGCAAACCTGCAACCCCAGTACTCAGGAGCTTGGTCTACACAGTGAGTACAAGGCAAGCCTGAGCTACATAGTGAGAGCCTGTCTCAAAAAACAAAAAAAAACAGGGCCGGGGATTTAGCTCAGTGGTTCCGCTACCTGCCTTGTAAACCCGAGGGCCCTAGTTTGATCCCTGGTACCAAAAAACAAACAAAATCAGCAAACAAAATAAGACACCCCACATACTCTCCTGTGCTAAACAATGTGGTCTAAAACCCCACGTCTATTAAGACCGATCACCTCTGATGTATAGAATTGGGAAGGATTGATAGAAGAAACTTACTTTAAATTTTAAATCCCTCTTCCGCTTCCCCTCCCTCTCTGCTGCTGAGGATCAAATCCAGCTTCTTGCACATGCTAGACAAGTGCTCTACTGCTGAGCTGCAACACCAGGCTGATGAGTTATTTCACCTGGCAAATTATATCTTCTTGCCTCTTCCGAGGCCTTGCCTCTCAGCCCTTCAGAACCCAAGGTAGGACTAGGTGAAATTCTTTTAGTATTGAATAATTAAAATGCAAAATTTAAGAGGTAAGGCAGACCTACACTCTCTCTCTTTCATGAGAGAAAGGGGATGAAGTAGAGGCATCTAGTGGATCCATGCCCCAACTCTGGGGCATAAGCAGGTTCCTTTCCTTTTCTGAGCCTCGGTATTCTTGTCTGTAGACAAGGGTGGTAAAACTCTTGGACAGATGGGGTGACCTCATTTTGATATAGGAATATACAAAAAAGCCTGTGGCGGTGAGGCTCTGATTAATAGGATCTTCACTGTCCTGCTGTGTAGGTCTAAAGCAGTGGTGTGGACCAGAGCAGGAAAAGCACTGTGTTTTCTCCCAGGAGTGGCGGGGCCTGAGGCAGGGGGAGAAAGCAAGGGTCTCTGTGACTTCCCAAGCAGATCCTGGAGCCAAACTTACCTCTCAAAAATCTCCTGCTCTTTCTGCTGCAAGAAAATAAAACAAAGTCAGGCATGGCACCAGAAACCCACCATCAGTCAAGACTTGAACCTATTTAACTGTGAAGGGTGTGGAATAAAAGCTCCTCCTCCTTCCTTAGGCCCAGCACCAAGTTTTACAGGCTGTTCTCATATGCATCCTTGTGGCACATGCGCATAATGAGTCACTCTGTGCCTCCTGCCCCATGGTACCCTGGGACCCCCTCAGGAGCATCAGCCATTTACCGAACACACCTCCCAAGAAATGTCAGCTCCTGGGTGGCTGTGACTTTCTGAATCTTCTATTGTGACTGTCCCAGGGTTGGAGACAGAATGTGCACTGTGCGTGGGAGCTCGGTGACTGAATAAATGCACAATTGAGGGCAGTCACAGGAACTGCCCTACTTGAAAATGCAGTGGGAGAGCTCAGTTGTTCTACATTCTTCTGCCTCTACCAGACATGTTTTTATTCAGATGTCACACTGTCCTCTCAAAACTGGAGGCTCCTGCACATCTATAAAATACATGCAAAGGCTATGTACCAACTTTTAATCATGGTAACTTCTGGTAGAATTAAGAATGAGTTCTGTATTTTCATACTGGAGCTCCATCAAGCACAGCGTTCTCCTTGTGCACTGAGGACTTCCTTGGACATGGCTTCTTTCTTACCATCTTCATCCGGGAAGCCTTCCCTGACCCTCTCCCCAGCCTGCATTGTGAGGTCCCTAGTTCTCAGTGATTTCCTCTACCAAAGCACATATCCTTCCTTACCCTAAATGTTAGTTTATGTATTCACCTCCTTCATGAGGCTGGAAGCAGCTAGCAGCTGTATCCTGTAACTCTGCCTCACAGTACAATGGTTAACATTTAACAGGTGCTTGATAAGGAACTCACTATTAAAAGGATATTGCTATCAGTTGCCAAGAAAAAAAAACCTCTTATAATTTGATTCCCCCTCCCTCATGTTAAAGAAGTATTCAGTGCTACTTATTAAAGCACAGTAAGGAAGAATTTATTCAGGGCCCTTGCCATGGAGTGACTACTGCAACAGGGCAGAGAGATTGAGCTTGACTCTGAATAGGGTAGGAACAAGTAGGAATTTATAGCCAAGGAGTAAATAGATGGAAAATTACCAGGAGGAAACATCAGGGGGCAGGGGAATCCTGGCTAAACTAACCTAACAGGATTCTTGATGCAGACAGGCCACAGTGAACCCCCAGGCACCACCTGGGTGAGGATGGCAGCAGATGAGGAACCTAATCAGATATCCAAGGTAATCAGATATGGAAAATGGGAGGGGTCTGATAAACAGAGAATTCTTTTGCCTTTTACAAGGAAGTAAACATAAGGGCCTAGGAGAAGGTTCAGAGGGAGACCAAACAAAAGAGCTTTGTCATTCATCCCTGCTCCAAATTCTCACTTCCTGCGAGGGAGAAGCATTCTCAATGTTTTCAGACACGGGAGTCTGGCCACTGGCCGTGCCCTCAGCCTTGCTGCACTTACAATCAGCTGGTGGTCATCCAGATGGGTGAGCATGTCCACCAGCCTGCTGCGAATGGTGTTGAGCTTCTGCAGAGCCTCAGCCCAGTGTGCCCGCTGTGTCAGGATGCTCTGGTGGGCCCGCTCCTCCTCGCCATGCACCTGTTCCAGCAACCGCTGCTCCTCACTCTCACAAAGATTCCTCACCAGGCTCAACCGCTGGATAACCAGCTCCCTCGCCGCGCTGGCCGTGCTCTGACAAGGGATGAAATGAGGAGTTGGGTCCTGGCAAAGCCCCGGCCGGGATAAGGAGGGTTTGGGCTCGGCGGGAAGGAATGCCAGGATTGAATGGCAATGTCTGTGATGGGAATAGTAAGGGGAGTAACGGTGTTTATACCATTTACTTTAACAGACCAACAGTGAGACTTCCCAAATATGGTTGAAAGAAATTTGAGATCCAGACGGCCAGGCTATACCTCATGAGGCCATGACCACAGAATGGAGAAGCTGGGCAAGGGTTAGAGATCAGCTACGATTTCCTGGTTTTCTTCACATTTAGAAATATCTAGGCCTACTGGATACCTAAAAAGTACCAATAAACTCAATAATAAAAAAAGAAATACCTAGGCCAAGCAATCAGGGTCAGGGAATTATTGAAACTGCAAAATGGAAGGGCTGAAAAAGTCATCCCCATCAACCGTTTCCATAACAGTGCTCCCGGTGATATTTTACCATGTCTAAGGACAAAAATGCACTATTTCCTAAGACTGCTCCATCAAGTTCTGTATTAGAATACCTAATTCTCATCCAGGGAAGTTAATGAGCATCTTTTTCTAACTCCCAGCACAGTGCCTGGCATGAAATAGGTACCCCCAGACAGCGACTGGATGATGGAATGGGAAATGTTTTCCTGGCTTACTTAAAAATCTCTTGGTAACACTGACAGAGCATGTCCGTGGCAGGGGTGGGGACCAGAGCCCAGTTCTCTTGCCTGTCAGCCCAACACTGTTCCCTCATAGGAGACACCACCTGGTAACCAGTCCTCCCCAAAGGCAACTGTTGCATAAAGCACCTGCCCTTGTACTCTTGCCTAACAAGTGACAGCAAAGCTGCCTCTTCAGGCCAGAGGTGGGAGGAGCCAACCACTTTCCTTGTGCCCTGTCCCCAAAGACCTGCTTTACACAGTGCAGGGAGCAATCACCCCTGCTTAACAGAAGAAACTAAGACCCACAATTTGCACAATGAGGAGGAAAGAGGCTAAATGAATAACAAGTGAACCCACTTTGGTCCAAGCTACTGTATTCTCCCACTAGGTTACTACAACAGCTTCTTAATTGGTCTCCCTACCTTTTACCCTGCTATCTATAGTTACTTCTCAACACAGCAGCCAGCATGTTCTTTTTAATCTTAAATCACATCATCTTACTCTGCTCAAAAATTCCCAATGGCTTCCCATCAGACCCAAAGAAAAAAGCAAAGAGAGAGAGAGAAAGAGAGAGAGAGAGAGAGAGAGTCTTCCCACCTGCCAGGTACATTTCCACCTGGAGCTTTTGCACTTGCCATTTCCTCCTTCTAGAAAACTCTTCCCTCACATGTGTGAGCCACTCTGCCACTTCCTAGGCTTCTGTGCAAATATCAACCTCCTAAATGAGGTCATTCCCAATCACAGAAGATGGGATTGCATTCCCCACCCTCAATGTGTGCTATCCCACTTCCTGTTTTATATTTCCCCATAGCTTGTATCACCTGCTGACATGGCATATATTTCACTTGACAAGAATGTAGGCTTCACGAAACAGGAAAGTTCATATGGCTTGTCCACCATGGAATGCCAAGCACATAGGACAACAGTGCCTGGCACATGGTAGCTGCCCAAAAAGAATTTGTTAAATAAATAAATGGTGAAATGCTGGAAGTTCCTCCTTAAAGTCAGGGTCTGCTACTGTAGCTTCTAACCAACCTGGTACTGAGGCGCAGTAAGTGTCAGGGCAGTAAGATAAGAAAATAAAATGAAAAGGGGAGAGAAACCCAGGGAGGAATCATCATGAAAACCAAAGCAGACATGAATGGAATAGCTGTCTGAACACCTAGCAGCTTTCTAGTTTCTATTCTAGTCCTCTGTAGGTTTTGAGAAACCTCTGAATCCTGCCAGGAAATGTTCTGTTTTGTTTGTGCAAGTTCAACTGGGTTCTGTTCTGTGCAGTTGAAAGAGCCTTGATTAAGGCAGTGCCAAACCTGGTCCATGGGGAAGAAGGAGATGTGCAGAAAGAAATCCATAGCTCCTATGCTGAAGGGCATGCTTAAGAGTGAAACAGAGCAGTGGCAATGAGTCCACTGAATAAAGGACCAGCTGTGGGATGTAGAAGAAAGAGTACCGGCTTGTGTGTGACCTTGGGTAAGTCAGTGAACCACCACAAGATACGTTTGTAAATAGGGATCTGCTGCCATCTACTGCGTAAAATTGTTGTAAAGAATACTCTGTAAGTCCCTAAGTGGTTTTATAATTCTGGGACTGAGTCCAAAATAACCAGATGATAAAATAATGCTACACTTCTCCATTCTTTACCCCAAGACACCTAAAAAAAAAATCATCTAGCAGTCTTTTCACCCAATAAGGTACCAGGAACAAGCCCACTCTATCCAGATGATAGAACTGAGGATCAGAAAGATGGGAAATCACCCTTTCTGAACACCCAGGTTTGCTTGTAGCACAACGAGGCTGTGAGGTTGGAAAGGGACCCTAGACTTGACCAAGTCCCTAGCAGTAGGGTCTTATCCAGGCAGGGGCACAGCAGAGCCAGAAAAGGGGAAGAATTACCACTGCTCGTTGGTTCTTCCCCGACAGGACCTCCGCCACGTACTTGGTGATGCCAGCGCTCTGTAACTGCAACCTCTCACATTGGTCCACAATCTTGTTCTGCAACACAAACATTGCTCCTGGCATCTTTGTCCATGCATATGAGACATTTGTTCATTCTAACGATTTTTTTCTTTTATCCCAGATAAAAATCATTATCAAAAATCTTCATGTCAAAGATCCTGTACCCTGCCCATCATGTCCCATCCTTTTAATTCACTAACTCCAAAGTTCCCATTTCAATAGCTCAGTTGGGGCCACCAAGTCAATAATCCTACCACTTTTTGCTGCCCACCATTCCCTACTGTGGCCTCGCTTACTTCTTTACCCTTAAGTCCCCTGGCCCATCATTGTAACCTCTTCCGTGTACACACACTCATGACTTTCTTTTATGCCTGGCTCCCTTACTGTCCCTGTCTGCTTCTGAGCAGAATGTAGCTTCTCAAACTTCTCTCCCCTGGGTTGTCACCATTCATAAAACAGCATCATCAGTCATCACTGCTACCCAGACCAAAATCCAGGAGTTTCTCTTCAACCCTGAATTTAACCCATCAGTGAATCCAAAGTTTCCCTGTCCTTGGCCATTTCTAGTCATCTCCGTTCCTATTATTCTATCCAGATGGCCATCATCTCTCACAGGAATCCTATTACAGTCTCCAAACTGGGCTTCCATTCTCAGCCTGCCCCTGCTCCCCAATAGCCACAGCCACCCTTTATAAGGAAATTAGATCGGATGTGCCTGCTCAAAGTTTTCCAATGGCTTTCCAACACTTCACCATGAGATCATGCTTCTAGCCTGATGTGACGGCTTATGTCTCCAGTGTCACTTCCTACCACTCTCCAACCTAACCTTCTCTCCATTCTTTTTTTTTTTTTTTTTTTTTTTT